ACAAGTTTTTCAAAAAGTGTAGCATTTAGGCATCGTCGATGGGGCCGGTTGATCAGTCCAGCAAAGGAAAATAAACGCTCTACTGGAGCTGAGGATGGGATGATCATGTTAAACCTCACAAAAAAGGTGCTTGGGGATACTGCTCCAAAGATTTCAAATCCCTCCTTTTGACAGTCAATTAGCACGTTTACATGCACACCAGTAAGCTGATAACTCACAAATATTGTGAGAAAAAATTCCCTGTTTACATACATCAGTAACCTGACAACGCAAGTAAGTTGCGTTTACATGACTTCATTAATAAATCAGGTTATTTCCCTGTAGTGACGTCAAAATATAATCATTTGTGTATCTGACTCCGAGTATTCCATACATTTCTCAGTTGTGATGTTAAATTAAGCTTGCAACATTTCGGGAAACTTACAGCTCATATATTATCCTCTCATGCAGTTATAAACGCAGCATTGTGACTGAACCACTTCTATTTCTGCTGCACGAGATGAGAACACATTTTTATTATTTTCGGAGTCATGAAAAGTCTGCTTTTGTGATATGTTTCCTTCTCTCTTTACTGCAAGACGTTTGCTCGGTCTAGATGCGCTTAAATCTGCACTAACGATGCGTTCCTGTCACGTATCACACATGCGCACTTCAATAAGCCGACAGAAAGCAGGTTATTGCATTTACATGCCGTGCGAAATCGGAGTAAGAGGCAATAAATGCCGTTTATGACCTTACTCCGATAAAAGAAAACGGGTTACCGCGTTTACATGACCAAGTGTGTTTTCGGCTTATTAAGCATAATCGGCTTAAGAACGTGCATGTAAATGCGCTCAGTGTTATTTTTAATATCGCTGATAAACAATACTATTATTGGCAAATATTTGAATTTTATTTCATATTTATTAATTTGAGATTTTCTGTTTTTAATAATTAAAAGTTTTTGTGCTCTTCGGTTTTATTAGTTTTAATGTGTCTGTATAGATTTTGTTACAATGTTTTATTTAGTTTTTGTTATTTTAGTAGTAAACTCGAAAAACGAGAAATTCTGCTTTGGCAAATAAATATTTAGTAAATAAGTAGAGTAAATAATAAATATTTTATTTTGTTTTAGTTGAGAAAAAATAATTGAAATAATAGTAATAATCGTATTATTTAAAATAATGCAGAACAAGTGTTTTGAATATGATAATGCAACACGATGTCCAGACATTTTAAATATATTCAAAGCCAGTATTTGGAGCATGTTTACATAAATGTTTATTTTTGTTTTTAGAACAAAATGCATTGTTGAATCAGTCACAGTACGTGCATTAAAGTAAATTGCCAATTTTGATTTCATCTCAATAATTGTAGCATTTCATAACTCATGTTTCCAGTGTTGTGAGCCAAATTTCAAAAAGTGAAATCATTTAGTGTGTATCTTTACTATACTCTGAATTAATTATTAACGGGTGCACATAAGGTTTTCAGTCTGGTTGTCATGAGAGCACCTGGAGTTTTGGTTTTTATTGCTCACACTGCACGTAGTGTGACCCATTAAATATAACTATAAAAAAATCAAATAATTAATAATAGTATTATTGCACTTTATTTAGTTATTTTTTAATTAAATAATAAAAATGTGATTGTGCATTAATAGCTGTCAACCATTTCGGTGCGCAAATGAGCGGTCTGAACTTATTTACCCAGCGCATGTTTTATTTTGGTCGCGCGTGCAAACCTGACTATTAATTAAAAAAGAACAGTGTGTAAAAAGGAACACCTTTAAATTATGCAAACTAAACAGCACAATTTATGTCAATTAGTGTTGATTTTCTTAAGTAATAAAAAGGTTTTTAATGCTTTTAGTTTTTGTTAACGCTAATAGTCTTGACTAAAGGAGGGCGCTTTATTTTCTGTGTGTGTTTTAGAGTCACCGTCTCAGAGCTGAAGGACGAGGTGCGAGGTCTCGTCCTGAGAGAAACCCTCCCCACGCCTGCACCGTTACCACAGAAACCAGGTGAGACGCAGCTGTGAAAGGGTCTGATTATACTTCTCTTGTTTTCCCCTTCAAAGCCTTTTCTAACGTTAGTCGTTTAGCCTCTCTGTGACCTGTAGAATCAAACCAGCTGTTTTTGGCTGCTGTGCCTGTAAGATTTCTGCACAGTTATCCTCCTTTCATGTTTCTCTTGCTCCTGTGTGGTAGCAGTGGTAACCGTGAAGACGAGGCCCCAGAGACGCGTGTCGTCAGGGTCGGAGGATGATTTCAGTCCCACCCCTAGTCTGGGTGAGATCAGCTCAGATGAGTTGGATGCATCATGGCTGGAAGAACCAGGTGACACATGAACGCATGCATAAGCACACCAGACACTGACACCAGATACACATGCACTGAAGAGTGAATCTCATGCATAGATTATTTTGACTGTAAAATCTAAATAAAAAAATTAGTTATCAGACTTTTTTTCATATTTGCAAGTAAACAAATTACATATATACAATGGGTACGGAAAGTATTCAGACCCCCTTAAATTTTTCACTCTTTGTTATATTGCAGCCATTTGCTAAAATCATTTAAGTTAATTTTTTTTCCT